GGATAATTGAGAGGCACAGATAGTGCAGATAATCTTTCACCGATCTGCTTCAGAATGGCCCGAGTTGATTTTCGCAGCTGTGATCTGTAGCTATTGCGACTATGGAGCCAAGATGTACTGTTGGCTCATGCTGCTAGCCTAATAATTTTTCAGTAATGAGCGTGATAAAACCGAGCGCTTTATCTTTTGATGCCGAATTGAAGGGGCGTAAAAGCACAGTCCCTTGCTTTGCCTAGGGGACCATTTGAGCAGGACAGCTCCATGGTATTTAAGTACCTGCAGTGCATGAATGCACAACCGCATCACTAAGCAGGGCCGAACAAAGATCTGTTCGGACACTTGAAGATATGCCCTAATCCGCACGCATGTTTATGCATAAACATGAACTAGATTTTATGAGCTTACTACCAAGCTGCTAGTTGTTGATACTGTGCTAAGAGAAATAACACTATCTCTTTTGACATCGGATTGTAAGATTCCTAAGTCGCTTAAATATGCATTAGAGAAAGCCATCATCTGGCATCAAAACAAGGATCATCGTAAAAAAATGGGCGAGCAAATACAATTCAAAGTTTTACCTTTCCCTTAGGTAGCTTATTACTTTGAGAAGGATGATCTTTTCAGGATTTTGCTCCTAAAACCGATCTAATATATTTAAAATAAAATGAATAGATGCATTTAAATAAACTAGTTTTTTAAACGTAGGTTCAGGAGACCAGTGCCAAAATTTTCTTGAAACTTGCTTTTAATATCAGCTAATATGATATTTGTTCTGCAACTTTATCAAAAATTGACAACACGAAAATCTTTGCTGTAGATTTCTGAAACCGCCGAATCAGGTGATAATCGAGTCCAATGGTAGGATGATTCGTTATAATGGTGGTCTGATTTAATAGGCAGAAAAGTATGTTAATGCCGCAGCGATTGATTTCAGAAATTTCTGCATTGCATTTTCCCCCCTACTTTTGCATTTTCCTTGTATTAGTTTACTTGTCTACAATTTTGTTGCCAACCGATGGGAGAGGTTGCAGCTTTCTTGAAGACTTGAAGATGAATGTAAAGACAGACGTGGAACGGCTCGGTTTCCACCGCGAATTAGTGAATCGCGTTAAACTGGAGAGTTCTAATCGGCTGGTGGAATGCCAGATTGCTTATGCTCAGTCCATTCCTGGCGATGCATTCGTTGAAACAGACGGGCCTTTCGTCGTCGGCGGGACCTCAGGGTCCAGCTTGGATATTTGCCTTAAAGAGGCGTTCGACAAAGAGCTGCCTTCATGGAAAGCCCACCGACAGAATGTGTTTGTCTGCGGTAAGAAGATGTACAACGCGTTTGTGTACACCCATCGTTGGACGCTACTTATTAACCTTCGTTATCAGGCGCCCTCCAACGACAGCAGATTCGTGCAGTTCAACGTCGACAATCCTTCCGTGTTGATTCGATGCAGTGAAGACGACTTTTGGAAGGCTACCGTTGCTAAATGCGGCCAGCGGTCAGTCTTTAATGCACCGTGTGATTGTCGGGAGTGTTACCGATCGCATAACCTTTGTACGTACCTTGTCGTCCGTCCATCGTCGAAACCGAAGAGTGCCAGGGTCGAGGTCCCCGTTGTCCCCCTTTTCTTCATGCCGTTCGTAGTTTGCGCCACGCTTGTCATCGTATGCTCGTGCTGCGTTTACCTCGTTGTCATTGGCTTTTCTGTTCCGATTCCCAAATGTAAAAAAGAGTAAAGCTTTACTGTTCGTAGAAAAGTTGGCGAAATAAAAGTTGGTTTTGCCTTTGATTCTTCAGACGATTCATTAGTTTAGTTTTTTTATCTGACATTATTTTTTTGTTTTCAGTTTTCAGGGACCAAGTTTTCATCGTAGAGGTCGAGTCGTGGCATTTGGCGATTCGGGATTCGCCAGTTTTGGTCACTGAAACTTTTTATCGTCTGGCCGGAATTTTTCCTTGTATGTCATCTTACATATAATCAGGCATAATTT